ACAAAGCTGATTGGACAGAAATCAAAAAGTATTCGAATTTTTACAAAAAGTATTCCAATTCGACAAAGCTGATTGGAAGTATTCAAACTCTTACAAAAATATTTAATTTTTTACAAGTTTCAATATTTAAATATGTTTATTTGATAAATTATAATTTACAAAAACAAAAGAAAATCAAATCAATTATTTGAAAAAAATTTTACATTTGCCAGAAATTGAAATAGCATCTTTAATAATATTAATTTCACTTTCTTTAGTTAATTCAATACTATCTATTTTATTAACAATTTTTTCTTCAGAATCCAATTTATTTTTTTTATTTTCTGGACTATTTTGATTTTTAATTTTTCTTTTGTTCATTTGAATATGTGGTAAAACTTGACCTGTTTCAACAACTTCTTCAATTTTACATTCAGTAATATATTCTTCATTAATATCTTCTTCATTTTGAACTTGAACAGATTTAGGAATTTGAACAATTGTTGTTTCATTATTTTGAGTAATTAAAGAGTTTTTAGATCGTAGAATTTGATTAATTTCTTTGATTCGTTTACTTTTTTCTTCATGATTATTTATTATAGTTAAAAACAAGTCTCTATGATATTTAGCAAAATATTTTTTAAGATTTGATAAATTTGTTTTGATAAGATAAGAAGCTTCACATTCATTGCAAACAAGTCTTGTTTTGTTGGAATTAGCATGAAAATAATTTCTGATTTCATGAGTGTTTTTCATTTTGATTTAGTTTTTTTAATCATATTGATTCTATTTTTATAAACGATTTTACATTTATTATTTCCAAATCAGAATTTACAAATTTAGCAAAATTATTAATTAATTTTAACCAAATCAGGAATCCTGATTTGGTTAAATTGAATTACATATGATTTTCAAATCAGAATTTTACAGATTTGGTAAGATTATTAATTTAATTTTCTAACCAAATCAGGAATTTTGATTTGGTTAAATTAATCTACACAAGTTTCCAAATCAAAATTTTACGGATTTGAATTAATTTTATCATCTACGAGAGGAAAACAAAACTTAGTTTTTTTTCCTACACCTTTTCTCACATCTATAAAAGCTGTAAAATTCAACTATTTCAAACTTCAGAATCATAACGATTCGCCCGAATATCACTAAGCTTAGCTTCAGATATTCAAAGTAATTAATAAAATAATTACTTTAAAATGGAAAGAGACATTGTTACACATTTTCAACGTTTCTCTCCAATATGGCACAAGCATATGCTTGAATCATTCGTCACTATCAACTATATATCCTGGCGTAATATCGATTTTGATAAATCCTATGTTCGATTTTACAAGAGACTTGAGTCGAAAGAGAAATTTGATCTTCTCGAACATGTGGACGAGGTTAAATTCAAAGATTATTTTGTATATAAATGTAAACAGGAATTCAAATTCTACGAACATTTATAGCAATAAAATACTTGCTATAACAACAACTATTGCCCTTTCAAGATGCGTTATACTTATTTTCGAATTCTTCAGAGTGTTAATAAGAGTTTACCTCCAAAAGAAAAATATGTATGTATTAATTCCAAAGGATCGTTGATGAAAATGAAAAGGTATTTATCAAGGTATAAACCTGATTACAAAATTTGGTTATAGGTAAAAAGTTTCAATAGCATATGTTCTCAAGAGTACAAAAACGAAACAAAACTTTTGAAAGAGTTTAAACAGTTTGTTAAAAGAAAGAAGAAAATTAAAGATAAAAAATTGTATCAGATATCAAAAACATAATCGATAAAAGAATTGATAAACTTCAATCTTATGTATCTCAATCTCCAGAATATGTTCCTCAATCTCTTTCTACTCAGTCTAAGACCGAGTAGAATTCTTTTTATGTAATTTTATCATCCATTATCAAAATGGCTTAAAACAATAATCTTATTATCATTGAGCTTTTCTATTTTTTTTAAAAAATCTCTCTCTGTTATTTTCAATAAAACAAATAAAAAAACTTGTTTAATCGAAGACTCTCACTATTATTCTCAATTAAATGAAATTGGTTCGGTCAAAACTTTTAATCATTACGATTTTCCTCTTAACCAAGGAAAGTGTTAGAATTGTAAAAAATATGGATATTTACATTCATGTTGTGTAGCTTGTAAACAGAAGTATTCATTTTGTGATTGTGTACATATTTGTGGCGCAACATATCCAACTCAGAAAAACAAAAAAGAAGAATTTTGCCAGTTCAAGAAATGTAAATATTATACAAACGATATGAACAAAATTTTACATCAATGTAAAAGTCATATCCAAGATAATCACATTAACCTTTTCATTGATGAGAAGCAAACTAAAAAATTCTATTTCAACAAACTTATTTTACGAAAATATTGTGATAGATGTGATTTGTATGATCATTTTTTATCAGATTGTTCTCAAACATATACATATTATTTAGATTTTTAATTATTTTTATTTAATATTATATTTTGTATCTACTCAATTTTAAACCAAGTAGAATTTATTTTATTCAAAAAGATGAATATCAACAATCTACCAAACGAAATTCTATTTTTAATACTATACTATATCTTTCAAACAAAAATAACCCTATCTGATTTATCAACCACTTTATCGATCAAATTAGTTTGTAAAAAATGGCACAATTGTTATCTTTCATTCTTCAAGATTCATGGAACCAAATATATTTTACTGCCTGATATATATTCTGTCGAAGTTTATACTCCTATTGAAAAAACTAAATATTATTTTTATTACAATGATGAAAAGATTTTTTTAAAACATAACGAAAAGAAATATGAAATCTCTGTTTATTTTAATTCATTACGTTTATTTGATTTTTCATTTCTAACTTTTGAATATTATCAATGTTCCAAAAGAGAATGTGAACGATGTTTAGAAAAAACAATTCTTCATACGTGGGGCATATAGTTTCTAGATAAATTTTACGATTGTAAAGTATCAACATGCAAAACAAAAAATCAAAAATATCATTCATACGTGATTTGTAAGAAATGTTATAAAATTTATTATCAAAAATTACATGTTGATTTTGTTAAATTAATAGAAATATATCAGAATTTCTAATCAGTTATATACCGATTAGAATTTATTTTATTCAAAAAGATGAATATCGACAATCTACCAAACAAAATTCTAATTTTAACACTATACTATATCTTTCGAACAAAAATAACCTTATCTGATTTATCAACCACTCTATCGATCAAACTAGTTTGTAAAAAATGGCACAATTGTTATCTTTTATTGTTCAAGCTTCACGGAACCAAATATATTTTACTACCTGATATACATTCTGTCGAAAATTATACTCCTGTTGAAAAACTAAATATTATTTTTATTATGACGAAAGATTTTTTTAAAATATAACGAAAAGAAATATGAAATCCCTACCGCTCATTTTAATTTATTACATTTATTTGATTTTTCATTTCTAATTTTTGAATATTATCAATATTGTTCCAAAAGAGAATGTGAACGATATTTAGAAAAAACACTACTTCATACGTGGGTTTATGGTTTCTAAACAAATTTTACGATTGTAAAGTATCAACATGCAAAACAAAAAATGAAAAATTTCATTGTCACGAGATTTGTAAGGAATGTTATAAAATTTATCGCCTAAATTTAGATGTTGATTTGATTAAATCAATAAAAAATCAGAGTATATTTTTTTAACATTAGTTACTTAACATATATCAAAATTTCTAATCAGTTATATACCGATTAGAGTTTTAATTATATAATCCAATGATGGATAATTTTTTTGAATCATTGAAAAAAGAATTTACCAAAGAATATTTTTGTTTACAAAATGATTATTACATTTTAGAGGAATCTGATTATTCTAAAGCTCAACAATTCCTTAAAAAATATCGTGTACTTTTTAAAAACTTGAGATATGTATATCCTGTTAATATATCCAACGAATTTCAGCTTCGAGAATTATTCAAAGTTTCTGTAAAAACAAAAAATCATATTTAACCTGTTAAAATAATTAATCCATCAAATTTACCGTTACCAATTATCATCGAAGAAGAATAAATTATTTAATAAATAAAATTTATCCACTTAGTTATTTAACCAAGTGGATTTTTATCTATGTAACCAGAAAATGGAAATTCTCTATAGTTTATTCCAAAACATAAACACAGGATTATTAATTAACATTGCGATCAATGGCTATACAGCAACTGGAAAAACAACAGTTAGAGAAAGAATTGCAAGTCAATATAGTTATCGCTTTATTGATTCTGAGTTATTTTATCAATACATCAATTACAATTATAACCATTCTTCGATTGAAGAAATCAGACAAGTTTTTGAAGATGACTCTTTTTTAAACAAGGTCGAATCCTTTAAATATGAATCAGAACTAAACAATTTTGATATAGATGAAAAAATACGTGATTTGGTGAACAAAAAAATTAGATTGATTGTTAGAAACAAGGGGTTCGTTGTTGTCGGTAGAGATATCACAACAAAATGTTTACCTGATGCTGAAGTAAAGATATTTTTAACTACTGATTTGAACACACGAACTACACGTTATTTAAATCAGATTAATTCAAATGAATTTTTAAATTCATTTTTTGGAAAGAGTTTTTTATATTCAGATTTTACCAATATATATTTTAATATTCTTAAACAGGATGCTAATTCTTTACTTGATCAAGCCCAAAATGTTTCTTACGCGATTGATACTTCAAATTTAAATTTATCTCAAGTTATTGATAAAATTTTGGTACATGTATTCAAAAAAATTCTTGGAATCACTTACCAACGTTATCATAGAATGGTTATTATTATTTTAATTTTATATTTTATAAATTATTTTGAATTATTTAAATTTTTATCAATATACTTCTAGTTAGTCTATAGACTAACTAGAAATTTATTCATGTAATTCCTACGAATTTTCTAAAAAATTGATTCTTACAATTCTACTTTCATTCTTACGATCCTACTTTCAATATCAAAATGTCTCAATCTGATATTAACCAAATCGATGCTCAAGAACTTAAATCCTATGATTCCGATTTATTTGTTGACACAACTACTTCTCTTTCAAAATACGTGTTTGAAAAAAGTTTAGACAAAATATGTTCAAACGATAATACCGAATGATCGCTTTTCCTCTCGAAACTTAAAGAATTTTATGAGGTTCGATTTGAAGAGATGACTAAGATTGAAGCTAATTCCAAGTTGGTGCGTGATAGAAATGATTTTAATTTTAATAAAGCCACTAATTTTAAAGAAAAGATTTACGTGGTCCAATGTATAGAGTAAGACAAGAACGTGATTATGTTATTGACACGTACTTCAAACATTTAACTGAACTTGAAAAAAGATATAAACAACTTGAATCAAATGATAAAGATGAAAGTGAAGATGAAGAGAAAAAACATGTTAAGAGGAGAAAACGTGGAGAACAATAATTTATTTGGTTATTTTATTTTATTTTTTTTTTATTTTTATATTGTTATTCTATTCAGTGTTTACCGAATAGATTTTTAAGTACGTGATGGCTCCAAATTATTATACCGAAACAA